AAAAAAATAATAGGCAGATCCAATTCGAAGATTAAGGAACAAAGCAATCTGAAACATTAACTAAAATAGATAATTAGATAATTTTAGCTTAGCTTATACCGTCCCTTGTACATTAAACGCATATGTGTAAACGTATTATGCGCATGCATAAACGTATATGTGCATGCGTAAAGGTATTATGCGTAAACGGTATTATGTGCATAATGTGTAAACACATTATGCGTTTACGCATGCGCAGAAAGTTGAGGTCCGGATTATGGACGTCTGGATTAAAGACTTCTGACTGTATTATTCCTTTAAGGAAAAGCTACATTCCAAATTGAATACATAGTAATATTAGCATTACAATATCTGATGGATACTGAGCCAATAACTGATTGTAAATAAATTGGACAGAATGTGTTCTGGTTCAGTTACCCTGTAAAACTCTAGGGGCCCCTTATATGAGTAAGTCTTATCAAAGTTCCCAGAATGGGTACCAGAGGAACAAAGGAGGAGGGGGCAAACAAAACACCTGGAATTTGAAAGATCAAACATATCAACAGTCTATAATGAGCTGAAATATAAATAGTAGAAAAAAGGTGAAATCAAGTTTTGGAAAAGTTTCTTAATTGTGAGAACACCTCCCACATTTGGCTAGCTAGTGAAGATCATGCATAAACTATGTTTCAAATAATAAATGCAAAAGAAAAGAAAATGGATGAAATGGTAATACAAAAAATGCAAATGCAAATTGAATACACCTAATAAAAATAATCAAAAGAATAAATACAATTTACCAATAGAATTACCCTTGGAGAAGAAAAACATATTGCATAGCCAACCAATTCTCAACCTTTTCACTCTTGTGGAACACTTGTGACCATCCATGTAACAATACTTTTTCATGGTTATTTTTATTTACAATCATTAATGGAAACTAAGAATGACAATTATTTTAGTCGTTCGTTTCAAAGCAAACAAATTAATGCAATTTCTTGCAATTGCAATAATTCTAAATATAATTAGGTATAGATAAATAATTAATTTCTTTAGTATAACAATTTATAACAAATATGAATGTGAAATCTGTGCCTGTTTTCTGGAAACTATATGTTGAATTCTAGTTTTGATTTTTAAAATACATATGCGAATTTCATCTTCCACAGAAATGAGACAATTTCTATCCATACTCTTAATACTTATAGAACAAGAAAAAGCTTGTTGACATATGTACGATGTTGAAAACTGCAGCAATATATTAATTTATATTTTGTGAATTGTTTGGACATTCATTTTCAACAGTAATCCAGAATTGTCCCAAAACCATTTCACTGAATCTGATTTTCAATGAACCATCTGATTTTTAAGTCATGAAGTTCTTTCAAAGTTAAGTTCTGAGGATGAACAGAAGTGGGAGAAAATGGATTCCTCACCCCATCACATAGTTCTGTTGATAGCAATGGAAAATAATGAACAGTTTTCTTCAACAGCTTCTCTACGTGGGATGCAATAACACTCAAATTGTAGGTATCTATCTTCACTTTTTAGTCTCAGCAGTAAATTCAAACATATCAAGACTTGCTTCCGTAACATGATCTTTCCATATGTTTAATCTTCTTTTAAATCAAAAAATCTTGTCACTTGAAGTTAACCTTTTTGGTCCTAATGGACACATATGTGCCAGGGATAAGATTTCATTCCCTATTGAGTAAATAACCCCCCTAAAATTTTACGCTTTCAGTGTTTTTAAAGAATTAGGGAACAAATATAAGACTAAAGAAACCTGGCCTATTTGTCAAATGTGTCAGGTTGCACTTTGTGAAGACTGTTTTATGCCATATCATACTTAACTTGTACTGTAAGAATAAAATATTTGGTACATTTCATTTAACTTTATTATTTATTCACGTGCAATGTAAGGTTATTATCACAATATCCTAGACGATTGGGACACATAGTCCCAGTTGACAATGCAATGGGACATATTGTCCCAGGAGATTTCCAGGAGAGAGGAAAAGTTAAAAACTTTAAACTCATATTACACTTCTTTTAGTATGTTAACATTAAACTAATCATGCAAAAGTTGGGTTAATATATTTCTCCTCCACCTTGCAGTAACTTCTTCAGTTGATTCAAGTGATGAAAAATACCTGCTAAATAAGCTAGCATCAGCACCCACATTTGATCCTTAAAGCATTTAATAAAATTTTGTTCATTGTTTTGTTGAAAATGTGCATGCATTTCTTCCTTTAGCTCAAAAAATTCTATTAAAAACTCTGCCTCCTTTAACTGCGAGATTTCAGTGTATAACAGCAGATTTGTGTGCTCTTTATCCATGTTATCACAAAGCTTTTTAAAAATGCTAAAGTGAAGTAGCTTTTGTTTAATGAAGCTGCATTATAACATAACTGAATACCTTTTGGAGTTCATTATCAAGATAATTTAATATCAGCACTTCTCTATGAATAAAACAAAGTGTGGAAACAACATTAGCATTTTTTTTACATCAGTAAGAAAGCCTCTTTTTATAGAACCAAACATGGAAACAGCACCATCCCTAAAAATGCCAATACAGTTCTTCCAAGAAAAATGTTTCCCCTCAGATATGTAGATAAAATATCAGATATACAGCAAAGGAAATTTTCTTGAATTTCTCCCTTATTAACATATCTTACAAATGCTAGAACATAACATTTGTTGTTTAAATCTGTTGACTCATCCACATGAATTGAAAAATTGTCATTTTTCAGTTTATCACACAAAACCCCTTCAACATTATGTGACATATCATTGATTCCTTGACTTACTGTATTGTTTGAAAGTGGAACGTTTTAAATTTCTCTTTCTGCATCTTCTCCCAACATTTTACCCACTATAATTTTACACGTGGGCATTATCAGATTCTCACTGACTGTGTGACTTTTCCTTTTCTATGCAACAGGCTTTGCCACCAAACAAGTTGCTTTCTGAGCCCTTTCACTAACTATGAATGTGTTTATAAAATCTGTATTCTGATTATTTTGAGGATTTTAAAGTAATCAACAGTTTTATTTTTCATTTTAATATGATTTGCCATAAAATGTATATTCAGTTTTGTTGGAGCCTTGCTGTATTTGACAGTTTTTTTACCACAACGAAACATAATGAAAGAGGACATTCTGGATTGTTAGTCCATGTAAAGCCAACTCATAAATAACTTTCATTAAAATGAAGGTTATTTATGAGTTACCTTTCTTGCACTTCTGTCTTTTGAAATTTTTAATCAGATTCTAAATCTTCATCACTAGTCTCTTCAGAATTATCTGGATTGTTTGTCTTCAAATATTGCCACATTTGTTAAAAATATATTTCAGAGTACCCCTTGACGAATATTGGCGATTTATTGGCGTCATTCCTGTTTACATCCAACACCCTCCCCAGTAAAATGGCATCCAAAACATAATGCAGTAAAACAAAAAAATATGTTATCTCAATAAACTGCAATTTAAATCAAACAATGAAATAATATAAAAAAGGAAATACATGTTGCCTCATCTACGCACACTACAAAAAGGAAATATCGACTTACCTTATTTAGAAAATTCTGTGTTTTCAGTCTGTGGCACACAAAATTCCTTAATAGCATCCAAAAACTTTTTTAAAATTATCTGAACTAGAATCTGTATACTGCCATCGTGACATAAATTCACAAAAACAGGAGTCAAAAATATCCTCTGGAGTACTGGACTGTCAGTGGCATTTCTTGCACGAACCCTTCTTGTGACAAACCTATTCAAAGCCATCTGAACAATCTTTATGTTTGACCATACGTATTTCCTCCAGACCAACAGGATACTTATAATGACTACTAAGTAAACCTTGATTTACACACCAGTCAATTAATGCTTTTTGTCCCTTTCGTTCCAATCGTACAGAAACTTCAAATTAATCTTATCACATACAGCCATTTTATGGTGTAAAGCATAAAATAAGCATCGTACTTCCTAACCAAAATCTAACATGTAAATAAGCCCTTACAAATATTTTCCCATCAGTCAAATTCACCACAATCAAGCAACCAATCATGCCATAATAGGGTTTCCATAACATTAAAATACTCAGGTTACCATAAATGAAACAGCAACTTGGCGATAATTCAAGGGTAACCCTAAAATATAGACTAACCCTACATTTTAATCATTAAAAGCTATAGAAGAATTGCAAAATGAGAAACAAAACCGAATAAAGTACTAACAGAATAATAGTAAAAATAATAGTAAAATAACATAAACACTAGCAGTCTGTTTAACTAATCACGTGATGCTATACTTCTTGCATCACTAGTGGATACACAGTCACACTAGATTCTAGTTGGTGTCAACTGAACAGCTGGCCTTTTGCTGTTTGACTATGCTTGGTTAGACTCATATTACAGGCATAGCCTTGCAATGCCAACATACAGTTTAACAAAAACTGTAAAACTGTAAAAAAGAATAAATTAATCCCCTTTCATTACAAAAATATTATTTTTAAAAAAACTGAATTGGTAACGCAAGTAATAAAGAAATTAACACAACTCCCTCCCCCTTGACGTCTGATGAGTTCTAACTGAACATAGCCAAACAGCCAAAGGCAGCTTTTCAATTATCATTAGCTAGATTCTTGTCCCAGTCACACCCATTTCCCCCCACCAAAGTTACACAAGTACAATACCAAATCAGGAATTTTTTTTTTCTTTTCCTCGTAGCAATGTTTCACAGAACCCTGGTTCAGAAACACTGCAACAGAGGAAGGGGGAAAATTAAACCAATAATTTTTAAATTTTCAGAATTCAGCACTAACTAGGAAGGAATAAGCGAGGAAATATGGTAATTAAAAATTTTACGCACATATTTTTAGAAACCAATCTTATTATCTTAGAAGCTATTTTCCTTTTTTTCCAGTTAATCAAACATAATTTCTGGATAAGTGCAAAGTTAAACATAAAAATAAATAACAATGTGAATCATGCATCATAAAATATTCAACAATATACTTACTTAAGCTCACGAAGATCATCTCTAAAAACCTTAAAAAAAAGGGAGCAAATTATAAATTGCACTTTAGTACATACTGTTTGTTAAGCATATTTATGAAATGAATATATAAGTTTTCATTAATGAAATACAAATATACTTTAAGTAAATTTTATCCTTTTAACAATCCTTCTTTTTTCAGTGGCATGTAAAATTTTTACATGAACTTACTCATAAAATCAAAATATCTACATGCAACCATTAAATTACATATTTAACAGTTTATACAACATTTAATTCTACAGTTGATCCACAGAATGCTTTCTCAGCTTTTCTTTCATTTGTTATCATCAATGTATTATAATAGCCATTCTCCCCCCCCCTTCAACAAATTCAAAAAGCTGCTCTCAAAAGCTAAACAAGATTAAAGGTGGTTAGAAGCTTTATTTTAAAACTGTAAAATAATAAAATAAATGAATGTGAAAAATTCTTCCCTCAACTTAGAACAGCGTACAGAAATTTGAATAAATATAAAACAATTTATATAAAAGAACGGATATGTGTATTAGTTAGGCTTTAAATAATACTTGCACGTTATCAATCTTGATCATGAATTAGCACACACAATATATTATGTCAAAAACAATATTGAAGACACAGTTTACAAGCTAACTTGAAACTAGAGATTAATTGGGTTACAGCTTAACCTCAGCCCTGTTAAAAAAAATGCCCTCTGTTGGAAAAAGTACTATTGCAAGAATCATCAGCAGACACGCTAGTGTGTGTGTGAGAGAGAAAGCAGATGATCATATGGAAACTTAAGTTGACAACTTTTCAGGCTTATTCCCTCCTTCTGCCTTTCCCCTTTCCAACACATTTGAACAACCTGACTGCAGTTATGAATCACTTCCTGTGTCCTGTTTCCCTCCTTAGGGCTGATAACAGATGCACTCTTAATTTGGAGATACAGTAATTGAAGAAGTTCTGTTTGGCAAATATTTTTCTTACTTTTGCTGAAACAGAAATTGCTATTTTTAGAACTCGCTCGGACACTTCAAGCAGAAGCTTATTTTGCTTTTCCATTGGCAAGTGGTTGTGAGTTACCTTAATCAGTATTGCTTGCCAAATGTCAGAAAAGAAATGGAAGGTTGTTGTTCTTTCCATTCATCAGAAACTTGGAATAATAGGTAAAGTACAGAATGGAAAGACACTGATTTCACAGTGTCTTTACAGTACAGAGCTGGCAAGCAGACTGCACTTGATTTGTTAAAGAAAATGAATCAACTTAAGCAGTTTGTGTATGCATCTGATTCTACTGTGGGAATGCAGGAAAGGAAAACAATGAAAAATCAACCTATGAGGGTTTTGATAAAGCCATGCTGGAGTGGTTTAGTCAACAGTGAGAACAGGGAAACCCAATAAATGGGACTGATTTGTGCAGAAAAAAGCTACATATTTCTTTCAGCAATTAGGATTAGAGGGTGAATTTTATGCATCATCAGGATGGCTTAAGCGTTTGTTTGAAACAGTGCCATGGTATTCGAGAACTCAAAGTGCATGGTGAACTTTTTAAATTCAGCAAAAGACTTTTGCCGCGATTTTAAAAACTTGAGATTGAAAATTTGCTTTCCCAGTAAATATAAAATATTGTTGAATCACAGTTATTTTGGAAATGCTTGCCAACAAAGATCTTAAATCTAAAAAAGAAATGAATGCTTCTGGTCACAAGATCAGTATGTCTCATATGACAATAATGACATGCGTTCACAGCAGGAACCACAAACTGAAACTGGTTGTCATTGGAAAGGGAAAAAAAAAAAAAAAAAAAAAAAAAAACGAGTCTTTTTAAGCATGGAAGCAACCAATTTGCCACCTAACATGACAGTCCTAATATAGCCAATGGTCTAGTGTGTCATTGCGCTGCTCAAATGAAACTACCATTCTGCCATGTTATGTGAACTTATCGAGGAAGATAATGATCTTAAAACTTTTCTAATTAAATTTTCAATTCTGGATGCAAATTCTTGCAGACTTGGAAGAACCTCAAAGTTTTTTAGATTTTCAGAGAAATAGAAGTATCACTAGTTTATCTTACTCAGATTGCAAACAGTGTGCTTGGTGGTGAATATGTGGACAAAGAAAACGTTTCTGAATGGCTAGAATATGATTGCAACTTGCCCTCATTCAAAAGCCACACAGATGAGCAAATTGTTAGTCATGCAAGATAGAAGTAGTATCAAGAGACAGTGAATGGGAGAGGGTTGAGGCAGGGAGCTATCTGCTGATGACCATGCATGGTCATGCATGGAGCTGCATTTTATGACATCGAGTGTCTTCTGGACTGCTTGGAGGGGCACTGCTGACTGCTAATATGACACTAGGCAAGATATGCATGGTCATGCATGGATCTGCACTTTATGATGTCAAATGCCTTCAGGTGTGCTTGGAAGGGCAATAAGATAGTCTGCTGACTGATAATATGTCACTAGGTAAGATAAGATCATTGATCTTAAAAAAAAAAAATAAAAAAAAAAAAAAGGCCAACTCGCCAAAGGAACAGAAAGTTAGGACTGACTTTTTTACATGATTTTGAACTGTCACTGCAATAAGGTTTTTGCTTTACTGAACTGTAATTTTTGTTTGTTGATAAAGTTGATTTGAAACTTCATTAAACCACAGTTTCTTAAAAAAACTGTACAGGTAAATAGCTTTGTAGCATTATTCTTTTTATATATTATATTTATCTCAACTCCTTTTTACTAGCTTTGGATTAACCATGACTTTGAGATAACCATGCATATCCTGCCCTATATTACTCTGATAAATTGGGAGTTAACTGTACATTAGTTTACTTAGTTTCATCACAAATTTTATACATGATTTGTCCATTCTTGAATGAAGCAAGCAAACTATACATCAAATCTCCAAACAGTAAACTACTTAGCACTGAGTATGTGAAATTCAATTTGCCATATTATTAATAAATAAAACTATCAGGCATAAGAAAAATAAAATAACAATGAAATCAATAATATAAATATTCACAGTTTAACAATTTATTCATTCCCACTTCGCCGAAAGAACAGAGAATGAAAGAAAGAACTGTACCATTAAGTAGTGTAGGTAGAAATTTTGGGGCCTTAGGCTTTGGTTTGGTTTACTTGATTATGGCAAAGCCTAGGGGGAGGACTTCGAAAGGAAAACTGGCTCATATGCCTATTACACATGGGGAAAACCAAGAAAACAGCCATGCAGCCAGCCTATTTGTGGTATTCAAACCTCGGACTAAACTACCAGTGATCAGAAATTTCACCACTCGGCTGCTAGTGGGCTGGGCCCTTAGGCAAAACTCAAAATAAGGGTATATAATTCAAAATAAATAAAAATAATGCACTTAAAACTCATCCCATATTCAATTTGGAATAAATGTATGTAAAAACCAAATACCTGAAACACAGTGGCAAACTGCAAGAAAAAGGGGGTAAAATTACAAAGTAGTTTAAAAACCTAAAGTGTATATATACAGGATGTACCGTAAATGTTGCAACAAACGTCAGAGGGAGGTAGGGCACATTATAACTATTAAAAATTACATAGGAACCCATGGCCAGAAATGTCACTGTACACCACCAGGGGGGGCTGTACAGGAGAGGGCTTGTGGAAAACAAGTATTGGCCTCATGATACGGAAAGCATGGAATACTATATGAATGGAGAGCTTAGAGACATGCACTTAGTGTATGGAATAGCTGAGAGTAATGGACAAGCTGCTGCATGCATTTATCGAGAAGGCTTCCCCGATGGACATCAACCACACCACAGTTTGTTTGCACGTTTGCATCAAAATTTGTGCAACTATGGGTCATTAAGAAGTGGCAGGAGAAGTGAGAGCAGGCAACGATAGGGAAGAAAGTATGTACGATACGGTGTAGAGTAATCCAAGGACCAGCATATGTGCTAATTGCCATTCAATTAAGGATGTCTGGCATCAATCTCCAGCGTGTCTTGAACGCTGAATACTTCCACGCCTTTTGTCTCCAAAGAGTTCAGTTACTGCTCCCCGATGACCATCCTGTGGTTTTCTGCAAGAAAGTGCCCATGATGTTAATTTAACAGCTTATGTGTTGTTCACAGATGAGGCCACATTCAATACGAATATCATATTCAATCACTATAATCAGTATTTGTAAGCTCAAGAAACTCCCCCCCCCACAGTGTATGGCACCTTGCAGCATAACAACACTTCAAAGTTAATGTATGCGCAGGTTTGGTTGGCAACTGCTTAGTCGGGCCCTACCTTTCACCATCGACGTTGAATACCGCGAATTATCTGATCTTTCTGGAGCAGGTTCTTCCCGGCTTACTTGACGATGTTCCACCAAATACAGCGATTCTAACATGATGGAGTGCCTGCTCATTTTGGACTGGATGTACGTAGCCATTTGAACAGATCATTCCTGCAACAATGGATTGGGCATGGTGGACTCGTTCCCTGGCCACCAAGCTGACCGGATTTATCGAGCCTTGAATTTTGGGGGGGGGGCCATCAACAGTGTCATGTATCATGACCCTGTTGTGTCTGAAATGGATCTTGTGGCAAAACTCGCCTACGCAGCTGCTACAATCAAAGAAACTTCCAGTGTGTTTGAACATGTCCGGCAATCAATGGTTCATCGGTGTCGGGCATGTTTGGTGTCTGATAGAGCAAACTTTGAGCATCTGTTGTAACATTCAAGCTGTTGTACACCATTTGTATTCATGTCCTATAAATGTTTCAAATTAATCACTCTCTTGTTTCCTTGTCGATCTTCTACCTCTGCTACCACTTACCCCTGACATTTCCAGGCATAAGTTCCTATGCAACTATTAATCCTTATGATGTGCCCTAGCTCCCCAAGAAGTTTGTCGCAACATTTACTGGACATCCTACATTCATCTACAACATTCATCTACATATACTAAATGTCACATTAGTAATAAAATGAAAATTAATTTTACCAGTTAACCAATAAAGTTCATGCAGGTTTTGAGACAAGTTACTTTTGGAACATTAGTGTGGTCAAACTGATTTTGATGACTTCATATATTTACACTCAATGCATATTTCCCTATTGGTTTTGTAGCAATCTTCAAAGAAAATGTCATAGTAAAAGAAGATTTTGAGGCCTATTTTGCTTTATGAATATAAATTAGGAAACAAAGCTGCAACGGCCGTTAAAAGACTATGGTCTGTGTTTGGAGAGATATCAGTGAGTGAAGAGACTGCTCAAAAGTAGTTCAGCTGATTTTCTTCTAGAGACAAGAGCCTTGATGATGAGCCTCGTGTTGGTTCACAATCCAATCTCAACAAACTCCAGCTGGAAGAGGAAATAAAGTAAAATCCCCCATTAAACCTGCCAGGAGCTTGCATATGGGTTTGCAGTATCGGATGAAAGCCATTCGATCACATCTTCATAACCTTGGGATGACATGGAAACTAAGCAAGTGGGTTCCTCACGTCCTATCCGAGAAGAACAAGCTCCAACAGTTCAACATCTGCATGTCTTTGCTGTCATGAAGTAATAAAGCCTCATTCCTGGACCAAATCTTGACATGTAATAAAAAATGGATCATGTATGATAAACAGAAGAGGAAACATCATTGTTCAATTTCTGGTTCAGTCTCAATTGGCTGCTAAACCAGACATTCAGTAAAAGAAGATAATGCTGTATGTTTGGTGGGCCAATGCTGCCATATTCCACTACGAATATTTAGAAAGAAGACAAACCATAACAGTTGAGGTCTATTCATCAAAACAGCAAAGATGTTCAATGGCACTTCATGGAAAGCAGCCAGCACTGGTCAATGGAAGAGTTCTCTTCCTCCAGGATAATGCCAGACCTCAATCGACAAAAGCAATCAAAGAGGCAATCAAAACACTTGGCAAGGAGTTCTGCCTCAGCCACCATATTCCCTGGACATCACACCATCTGACTATTACTTATTTTTGGCCATGGATAACAACCTGCTGAAACAGCAATTCCGAAGATGCAATAATGTCATAAAAGCTGCTTTGCTATTTTTGGATGCCAGAAAAAAAGGATTTTTCAAAAAGTTCATTTATAAGCTTGTATCTCATTGGAAACACGTAACTGAAGCCAATGGTGATTGTTTCGAAGAAAGAAATGGGTGTTTCAAGATATTTGTGGGCCATTTTTGATGAGTGATGAAAACCGCTAAACAATTTAAGACAATATGTAACCTCTACAAATGACATATAATCTTTGTTTCTACAACTTTATGTAGACTGAAAATGGCAATGGTAAAAAAGATTATGAGAATAATAATGTTTTAAAAAAATTTATTTCTTATAAATTAATAAGTGATTTTCTTTAAAATATAGTAGTGAAAAGTTACTCTTAAAGAGAAAAATAACATTTTTGTTATGTAGCAACCACTCCATTCATTGGTGATCTGAGTTAGTAAGGGTAAATATTATGGTAAATGGCTAGAAGACAAAAACTAGTCAAATGGTGCTAATTCTTCGGAAACTATGAAGATAAGTGTAAAAATTTCTTCTTTTGAGATAGATAGCCAGAAATTATCATATTCAGTACAAAGTCCGTAATCCGGACTCGTTCAGACTTCGGCAATTCCGGATTAGGGTTTTTTTTCGGATTATAGATAATCGATTTAAATCTGGTGAGATGGCAAGCAGAAATTATACAATTAAAAATATGAAACCATAATTTATGAAATAAAGAGCAATTATGATCTAAAGAGTATCAAATTTTACAAAAAAAAAAAAAAAAAAAAGCTTAACATTTATTTGTTTCCTTCATTAAACATTTCTTTCAATGCGCGCATGTGTAAAGCATACATTACGCATAGTCAAAATTAGAAAAATTGGAACCAGAAAACTATTTGATGTGTATTCATGATATTTATGATGACGAGGAAATTGATTTAAATCATATCAAAGATGGAGTACATCGAGATGAAATATTACATTTAGTAAGGAATTATAAGCCAAATAAAATAAAAACATCTGCCCTGAAGATGAGGATAGTGCTGACAGATCAACTTCCAGTTCATTGCGTGCCGCGACGTCCCCTCCCCCCGCAGAGCAGCGTGAAATTGATGGACAGATTTCGAAATGGTTAGAGAAATCCAAGCTGTTCTGATTACGCAAGTAATATCATGCTAAGTAGAAAAAAAATGCACTTCATTTAGAGTATGCCTAACTTAAACGACACTTAAAACCTGGTGAATCCCTTTCCGAATATTTAATTGCCATGCATGAAATAGCCAGTCGGGGTTCTGTTGATGATTCATCAATTCTTGATTATGTAATTAATGGGATACTGGATCAGAGTAGTAACAAAAATTATTTTGTATGGCTGTAAAACTATTTCTGAATTCAAAGAGAGATTAAAAATTTATGAGAAAATCTGCGTTCCAGATACGAAGAATAAGGGTTATTCAAGTACTAACACACAAAATAAAGCATGTGCTATACCAAATAAGAGTACAGAACCAAGGTGTTATGACTGTGGTATAGGGCGTGTAATGTATGTGCATTCTTTACGTGCATGCGTAAAGCATACAAAAAAAAGTTTGTGGCTATGAGGTCTGGATTATAGATCATTCTGGGACTTTGTACTGTATGATTTATCATATAGAAGCACAAATTAAAGTTTAATGAAGATACCAAATATAACTACATTGTTTCACAAATGGAACCTAAATATATGGACACTATTTGAGACATAATAACTGATAAAACTGAAAATAAACATTCATTGGCAAAAGAGCATTTATTAAATGTATTCAAAGAAAGCAAAAACATATGAATCAAATGCCTTTTCACTAGTATTTTGGGGATGTGAAACCAAGAAGCAGAAGCAAAAGGCATTACAAGTAGGATTGAAGGATAAATCAAATAGTGTTAGTTGGAGTGGCTTAGAACAAAACTGTTTTCATCCTTAAACTATATGTATATTTTAACATTGTTATTTATATTACCTCTATTAACATAGGGGCTAGAAATCTGAACTAGAAGAAGCCTACACAGTTTTTAATTCATCTCTACATACTTTAATTTCTTCTGTTCTCATATATTCATAAAACAGATTTGTTTCACTGCCTCTCTTTTACAATATAATTTTATTCAATAAATTCAAAAACTTACTAGCATGTTCTGCAACTTTTTAAATTTCACACAAGGTAACAAAGTGTTAAAGAATAATAATAAAAAAAAAATTGTTTTGTTTTTTGTACTTGTTTTTCTTTTTACTTGAGCGCATTCATTTTTTGCACCAAAGACAATAATAACAAAAACTTATTGCATCATTGATAAATAATAGTAAATTCAATATTAAATGATTTAAACTAAAATGATTCAATCCTTACCTCTTGCTTTAAAGATGATTCAGGCAAACTTAATGCACACTTCAGTAGTGTATACAAAGCACCATATGCAGTATCGATATTACTGTTATCAACAGTCTTCTTTAGTGATTGATACATTTCATGACTAATATTTTTTCCTTCAAAATCTAACACAGCAACTAAAAATGAAAAATATTCTGTTAGTATTTTCTCTATGTTTCACAGAAAACTAACCTTTCCTGCCCCCCCCAAAAAAAAACATAATTAAATGAAAATTCACAAAACTGCAAAAGACAATTACTGTATGAAAATTGAAATAAAATTATGAATTACTGCTAAGTCAGAATAATAAGAAAAAAATAATGGTACACATTTTTTGTCTTTTTTATTTATGTTATACAAAAACAACTGAATATCTAAACTTAATAACAATATTGAAAATAACCTATCTTACATTGAATTTTTCCTTAAGAACATAAAGAGATGGGCTAAACAGATAATTTCATAGTAAAATTTTTATTACAGATATAGTAACAAAAGTGTAAATAGATAAAGAATTATAAATTCGAATCACAAACAAATGATTGGATTACAATGAATGGTTTACAAATGATTTTTCCTGAAATTATAGTATTGATCCTAAAAATCTGATGATCACTTTAGTGGCATTCCCATTTATAAACTTTTAATTTTGTGAAATTTCCATCTGCCATGTTTATAAGTTGCTAAGATTGAAATGAAAAAAAAAAAAGTATATCACAGAAATTCTGGAGTTATGAAATCAGAGACACAATTACACTACTGTCAATTTTTATAACACAGAGTTTCAGTTGTCCAAGACTTTGGAAAAGATAATATAGATAACTATTTAAACCAGGTGTTGCACGTGGTTGCGGCTGTGTGCAACAACAAACTACGCGTATTGGAATTTGCCAGTGCTTTTAAGGATGAATTCATAACATGCCATAAGAGCCAATTTTTGATAACAAAAACATTTAATCACATCACAATATTAAAACTTAATTACTACAGTCGATAGACAATCACGTTGGAGGAAAACGAGCGACCAACCGCACCCACGACGAGACGTGACTGTGTGTTGCCGAAAATCACCTTCGGTTACAGTTAGTGATAACGGCGCGCGGTTGGCGAGTACAACAGATGTTTACAGAGTCGCCACACTACTCCCCCTCCAGTGGCAACGAATTAAAATTAAAGGTACCGAGGGTTTTAAATCAGACTCTACGTCCGGAACGTGTATACTGAGGAGCACTTGTTTTCTGAGATCCAGGCACAGGAACTGATTGTAGTAGTAGATGTTGTGTTGTAGACCAATAGATGAAGGTGCCTTCGAAGGAGGTGGGACTGATGTACCAGTCTCGACAGTTTGTGGTGCTAAGATAAAGGCTGGTTTGAGACGATCAAGGCTCACCACTGTTCTTTGTCGCCGATTAGTATCCGATAGTTCTTGGATGTGCGACTTAGAACTAGGTGTGGGCCTGTATAGGTAGGCTCCAAGGACTTTTTTGATGCATCACACCGTAAGAACACATGTGAGGATGTAGCGAGTTCTTTAGGAACAAACACAGGTCTTGAAGAATGGATGCTTGTGGGCTTAGGGTATAATGCAGCCATGGTTTTTCACGCAATTGTTTGAGGAATGCATGGGGCTGGACATTGGGTGAGTTTTTGGTGAGATTTATAAAATCTCCCGGTAAACGTAAATTGGTACCATAAACCATTTCAGCACTTGAAGAACCCAGGTCCTCTTTGATAGCCGTTCTGAGTCCTAACAACATAGTAGGAAGGACATCAACCCAGTGAATAGCAGTATGGCATCTAATGGCCTGTTTAAGAGAGTGATGGAACCTCTCAACAAGTCCATTGGAATTCGGGTGGTACAGTGATATACGGATCCTTTTAGTTCCCAAGAATTTTGTTAATGCAGTAAATAATTGAGATTCGAACTGCCGTCCTTGGTCCGTTGTAACATACTCGGGTACCCCAAACCGTGAAATCCATACAGAAAAAAAAAAAAGGTTTTTGCCACAGTGTCGGCTGACTTATCTACAATAGGGATAGCCTCTGGCCAACGTGTGTATCTGTCGACACACATAAGAAGATATGTATAACCTAGTGATGGGGGTAAGGGTCCAACCAAATCGATATGTACGTGGCTAAAGCGAGCAGATGATAACTCAAAGTGTTGACATGGAGTTCGAGTGTGCCTGTGAATTTTTGATTTTTGACAGTCTGTACATGACCTCGCCTATGCAGCGATGTCCTTCTGCATACCAGGCCATACAAAACGATGTTGAATTAACGTGCGAGAAGCACGGATGCCAGGATGGGATAAATTATGGGAGGGCTGCTAAAAATACCATGCCGGAATTTCAGTGGAATGTATTGGCCGCACCACATTACCTTGCACATCGCAGTACAGTGAAAGATCTGGTTCTAACTGCATAGGTACTAAATTAAGTCCATGAGAAGACTTGTCAGACAAAAGATGTTGCAATTCTGGGTCCTGTTTCTGGCATTCAGCAATGGCGGAGAAATCTGTTGTTGATGGCAACTGAACCTCTTCAATCCTGGACAGAGCATCAGTAACTGTATTTTGAGGGCCTTCTACATGCCTAAAATCGGTTGTAAACTGCGCTATGTAATCAAGATGACGCATTTGATAGAGCCAATTTTTGATAACAAAAACATTTAATTACATCACAATGTTAAAACTTAATTACTACAGTCGATAGACAATCACGTTGGAGGAAAACGAGCGACCAACCGCACCGACGACGAGACGTGACTGTGTGTCGCCGAAAATCACCTTCGGTTACAGTTAGTGATAGCGGTGCACGGTTGGCGAGTACAACACATGTTTACATAGTCGCCACACCAGAAATTCTCAACTGGTGGTACGCAAAAGAAAAAAAGTGGTAAGCAAAGAAACAAACTACTTTTAACTATTAAATTCAAAACTTAAATACCATAACATCTGTTCAAGTTTTTTCTCTAACACTGTAAATTTATGCTATCTGAGCTTTGCTCAAAGTCAACAGCCGCTTGCAGACTTTAGTAAAATTAACCCTTTTTATTTTCGCAAATATTCTTTTAGCCAAAGACATAACAAAATTTGTTATCAATGATGTTTTTAAGGAACTAATAGAAATGGGTGTTGTGTTTAAACAGGAATTAAAAATAATTTCCTATAAAACGATAATAGTATCTCATTATTTCTTTTAGAGTTGATCAATTTATTTGGTATGTCTACACTTTATGTCGCCACAATTTACAGGCTTATATTGTTTTGTTTTCAATTAAAATAATTTTTTTCATCGATTTCCTGTCGCTAACAGAAGGTATTTTGTCTTCTTGCTGCTGTATTACTTACTTTTCTATGTGATTTGAGAATATCGCCATTTGCTTTTGAAGAACTCATTAGTATATTGTGCATTTAAATATTTGTCAAAAAAGTAGTAAAACAAACCTAGATTTTCTAAATGGAAAAATGGCTAAGATTGAATAAACAGAAAAGTGACGATTCAAAAATTATGAATCCATAACAATCTACTAGCACTAAGAATATTGATAAGAAAAATTGTTTATAGAAAATATTATGAAAGTTATTTATCATTTGGGTTTACTTGTAATGGAGATGAAATGGACACTCAACCTCATTGTGTAGCTGGTGGTGAAATATTATTGAACGAAATTATGAAACTATCATTTCTTACAAGACATCTTGAATCCAAGCATGGCAATTTAAAGGATAAATCTGAAGAATATTTTTAAAGAAAATTATCGGAGTTCAGAAATAGTGCACAAGCACTGAAACATTTTGTACCTTTGGAAGCTATACCTAGTAAGCCTAAGAATTGCCAAGACCAGGCAGGCTCACACTATTGGAGAAAACCTTATACAGTCAAAAGTCTTTAATCCGGACTCGTCGGGACTTCGGCGATTCCGGATTATCAATTTTTCCGGATTATAGATCATCAGTTTAAATCTGGTAAGATGGCATGCAGAAATTATAAAATTAAAAATATGAGACCGTATTTATAAAATAATGAGCAATTATGATCTAAAGGGTATCAAAAATTTACAAAAAAAATAAGCTAATATTTATTGTTTACTTTAAAACGTTTCTTCAACGCGCGCATGCGTAAAGCATACCTTACGCATAGCCGAAATTAGAAAATTGCAACCAGAAAACTATTGATTTCTATTCGTGATATTTATATGACGAGGAATTGATTTAAATCATATCAAAGACGGAGTACATCGAGATTAAATACTACATTTAGTAAGGAATTATAAGCAGAATAAAATAAAAACATCTGCCCTGAAGATGAGGATAGTGCTGACAGATCAACTTCCAGTTCATTGCGTGCCGCGACGTCCCCACCCCGCGGAGAGCAGCGAGAAATTGATAAACAGATTTCCGAACGGTTAGATAAACAAAGGATATGGCTTTATCCATTTTTTGTAGGAATTCGTTTTTTGGTTTGATGGACATCGAAAGATACTTTCGTTTTCTAGATCCTTTGGGAGCTCCAGCATCGGAAATTCTATTTGACATAATCGAAAGTTCAAGCTTACTTTTATAAAATTGCTCTTACAGTCTGCAAAAAATAATAAGCCGGATCCAATTCGAAGATTAAGGAACAACGCAATCATCAACATTAACTGAAATAGATAATTAGAGCTTATACCGTTCGTTATACATTAAACGCTCACGCGAAAACGTATTCTGCGCTTGCGCAAACGCATATGCGCAGTCGTAAATGTCTTGCGCGCACGCGTAAAATGCCTATATGCATGCGTCAACGCGGCGCATGCGCAGAAAGATTTTAGCTTTGAGGTCCGGATTATGTGTGTCCGAATTAACGACTTTTGACTGTATTAACAGCAGCTAAAGACATCGTTTTAACATTATTCAACAATAAAGCACCTAATGAACTTAATTCAAATGATACAATAGTCAACGAATTCATGAAATGGCAAATTCCATAAAAGAGACACCTATTCAAAAAATAAAACACAGTGAGTATTTCCCATTGCAATTGAATGAAAGTAATGATATAACGAACTATTCAGTATTATTTTACACGTGTTTTGAAGGAGATAAACGAATTGTTGAATAGTATTTATTTTGTAAATCTCTTCAGGAAATAGC